ACCTTTTACCTACTTTTACTACTTTCTTACCCTTACTTTTACCCCACTACCTTTTTACTTTTTTTTTCTTTTACACTTACACACTACTACCTTTACTCACCTTATATCCTTTCCCTTTATACACACCTTTCTTACACTACTTCCACCTATTTTACTACTAAGCCTTATAGGCCCTATTTAGTTTTAGTTTTAGCGAAATTATAATATAAATTAAGTTACTAATTTTCTTTTTACGTTATACTTTCCTTATATCCTTTTAATTAAGTTACGCTTTTTTATTATTTAACTACTTCTTTTTACCGATATATACTTTACTTCCTTTAAAATAAGATAGTTCTTACACTTTATTATATTCTTTCTTTAAATACTTTATCGATTTAGTATAATAATTAGTTTTACCGTATTAAAAGTATTTTTTAAGCGGAGGAGGATTCTTACGGTACTACCCCCCTAATTTCCCGAATTAAATATTAATATTAATAATAAAAAAAGTATTAAAAAACAAATTTATTTCCCTACTAAGGCTAATACCGAGATCTAGGAAGTAAGGTATTTAATCTTTAAAATATTAAACGCGAGTCCTTACTATTTTAGATTTACCGTTTCCCGGTATAAAAAAGCTACCGTAAATATTTACCTTTAAATATTATAGTACTACCTCCCTATTTACTATAATATTAACCGCTATATATTAATCGAGTATTTCCGCCGCTTAATTAAAGGTAGTAAGAAAGGATATAATAGTCGTTTTATTTTCTTTATAGATTTTTCTTTATACGTTATACCTATCTTCGATTATATTATTAATTTAATTACTTTAAGTAATAAAATATAAAGATTTTAAACGGCGTTGGGATCCTTTTTAGTTAATACGGGTTATCCTTATAAATTTAAAAAACTTTATTTAAAAGCGGTTAATAACCCTAGCTTTTATTACTTTTTTCTTTTTAATCGGTATTTAAAAAAGTAATTTAAAATAATTAAAAATAACTTTCGTTAACTCGCTTATACTTTTAAGAATAACTTTAGCGTAAAAATTATTTAATTCCTTATAAATATTTTCGTTTTATTAAAGGTTATAAATTTTAAAAAAGCGTTTAAAGCGAATAATTAAAATAAGTTAAATATTAATAAATATAAGTAGTTTTATATATTTATTAATCTATTTTTCTATATTAAAGTTATATTAAAATTTAAATTTATAAATATATAAAGTAAATTCTACGATCTAATACTTTTTATAAGTATTCTCGAAATGCTTTAAATATTCTATAAAGTATTTCTTTTTAAAATTATTTTTAAAATCGACTTTCTTTAAATTAAAAAATTTACGTTAAGGGAAATATATAAATATTATATGATAGGGGGTTAGCTAATTAAACGTAAGAAATCTTTAAAAATAATAATAATTAAAGTAAGTTTTTATAGGGTAAGGGTATTTAAGTTATTTAAATTAATACGCGAATTTAGGAAAAGGGGTAGGATATTCCTAGATCCCCTAGCCCGTGTTATTCCCTACTCTATAGGCCCTACTTATCCGTCTTCCGTTCTTACTAGTCCGGGCGACCCCGCTTCTTATAAATCGTGAAATATCTCAAAAAGGTTTTAACTCTGTATAAATTCCAGTAAAAGAAGATTTATAGATACCACATACTATTTAGAAAGTAAGGTACGGCCTAGTACTTAACTAGCACCTAGGTAAACTAATACTATAGTTACCACCGCAATAGCCTAGATATATAAGGGGATGCGTCTATAAGATAAAAGGGGTTCGTGTGGATAAAGACCCTTCTTTCGTCTCATCCGTCAACCCATACTCCTCTTTAGTCTTCCTCTCATTTATATTGCACCGGCTAATAACCCAACTCAGATATCCCAGATCGTCCATCCATTAATCCTAGCAGCAGACCTATTGTCCCGGATATGTTCATCTTGATCATGCCGAAATAAAACATATTTTTCCCACCAATACCAAAACTGCAGCTCTTCCCCGCATAGTGCTACCATGCTCCGTCGATCATAATGGACCCCATTGCGACCTTGCTTGACTGCCGGCAGTTTGCACATAAGCCGCTTGTACGTCCAAGTCTTTTGTTGCTTATCCATTCATTCTTGCTAGTCCGTCATGCGTCTCCTACTTCTTTCTTTGGGCGCGACGATTGCGTCTCTCGCCTCGGCCTCGTTGCAGATTGTTCCGGGTGGCACATGGACTACACCAAATGGCGAGCATCTTCAAGCTCACGGGGCTGGTCTCATTGTTGACAATGGCACATACTACATGATTGGAGAGGACAAGAGCGGGGGACACTCATTCTCCAACGTCAACTGCTACTCCTCCACTGACCTGGTGCAATGGACGCTCGTCGGTGCTCTTCTGACACGTCAAGCATCCGGTGACCTCGGTCCAAATCGTGTTGTCGAAAGACCAAAGGTAGTCTACAATGACCGCACTCGAAAGTATGTGCTCTGGATGCACATGGACAGCAGCAATTACGGTGAAGCCAGAGTCGCCGTTGCCACTGGAGACTCGGTCTGTGGGAGGTACCAATATATCAGGAGTTTCCAACCACTTGGACGAGAAAGCAGAGACATGGGTCTTTTCAAGGATGACGATGGCAAAGGGTACCTGTTAACCGAAGATGTGAGTTCGTCCTCCCAGGCCTCTCATGCAGCAGCTTACTCAGACCAACACAGAGGAAACATGGACTTCGAATCGTCGCACTTTCCGATGACTATCTTACTCCCACGACGGACGTATTTTCCTGGCGCCTGGAGGGTGGAAATCGCGTGGAAGCTCCTGCCATGATCAAACTTGGACGAACCTACTTCATGTTTGCTTCAATGATGACGGGATGGGACGCCAATGAGAACCAGTACACCACCTCCACCTCTCTGTCTGGCGGCTGGTCTGCGTGGAGAAAGTTTGCCGATAGCGGATCCAAGACCTACAACTCCCAGACGACATACATTCTCAAGACAAGCGAGTCTAGTGCCATCTACCTCGGCGATCGGTGGATGAAAGACAACTTGATGGCGAGCACGTATATCTGGCTCCCACTGAGTATCAGTGGAACTACCGTTACCATGAAGAACTTTGTTAGCTGGGTCCCCGGATCACCTGGATTCTCCGCATGGCAAAATCCTCCTGCAGAAACATCATACGAAGGAGAAAAGGCAGTGTATGGCGGAAAAGCAAGGAATGTAGATTGCTCGACCTGTTCTGGCAAAGTGACGGCTGGATACATTGGCGGCCCAGACCGGGGTAGCGTCACATTCAACAACATTCGCAGCGACATCGACGGCTTGACTACAATTCGGATCAAGTTCCTCAACGGAGACAGCAGCCCGCGGTATGCCAACGTTCGGGTTAATGGCGACGGGGGGAGAAAGATTGCCTTCCTACCAGCAAAGGGAGACCCGGCTTCTAGTACCCTTCACGCCAACTTGAGACGCGGTTCGAGTAACACAATTGTCATTGAGGGATTTGGGAATGGCTGGGGACCAGATGTGGATCGGTTGATGGTTCCAGTGCAGTAGATTATCAGTCCTCCCTTGTTCTACGGATGCTTATGTAGATTACCTATCCACAAACGCAGACGACATCTTGTACCTCACTAAATTTGTCTGATCATGCCATCGGCCTTCCATCTCCGTGGTGGCTGGCCTAGGCCAAGGTTCTGGCCAAAGCGCGGACCTGTTCGTGCAGTTGAGACTCCCTAGGCGAGTTCTTCAAAACCTTCTCCAACAAATGGTTGACCTGCAGGCCTGCAGCCCGCGGAGGATTGCCCTGGGCAGTCTGGATTCTCGAGATTTGGAATTGAAGAAAGAACTTGGGGACTTTGATCGCCAAATTCCCGTTGACGCTTCTGATGCCAGCTTCGGTGGCGATGTAGACGTCCAACTGTCGCTGGAATTGTGCGAGGTTGGCGGAACGAAGTGGTGTCGGAGTCGCGAATCTGCTCAGGGCAAACTGCAATGGGGCTTGGGAAGAGGTGGCAAAGTTGATGGAAGAGAAGGAGACGCCATCAGAGGTTACATCGGGGACGTTGGATAATGTTCGGCGGCTATTGTTGCAGGTGATGCGTGGACGGAGCTGGTTGACAAAGTCTGATGTTTCCTTGGGGAGAACGGTGTTGCCGATTATAAAACAAGCACTGCCAGCTTGTCTAGAGCTGAGCTCGGAAGCCGCTGGAATGGCAAGATCGGAGACGATGGGAGCTGTTTGTTACTGTGTTAGCTAAGGGGCTTTTTCAGATGCAATCCATCTTCAACGTACCGGCAGAGACAAGCCCAGCTCCAATAGCAAGAAGACCGAAGAATCTCATTGTTGCGATTCGGTGTTGATGAAAGTGAGAAGTTGCAAAGTAAACAAATACAACAAACAAATTGAATAGGACGCAAGCGCCGGGATTTTGAAGAAACAAACAAAAAAATCGAGTCAAAAAGAACGATGCAGCCAGCCACAGTGAGGATCAGATCTACAACCGGGGCAGATCAAGCATCCTAAATACAATCCGAACCCTGTGTCTCGGTGGAGCCATCAACCCAACGACGAGAATCCAAACTCTGGCTCACGCGCCAATGCCACCGGAGCAGTCTCCAACAAGTCTAGCGCTGTACTCTGAGCCCCAGACAGGGGTCGGTTCAGGGGTTTTGGCGATGACCTCAAACTTTTGCGGGGCCGTTTCATCCCTTCTTCCCCTTTTGCTTCCAGAAATACCACCATGACAACTTCGTAAACGATTCCTGCAAGAAGTTCAGATGGTGAAAAGGGGAACCCATTGAAACACAAAGTAGACCCAAAACAGCGCGTTTTTGCCTTGGCGAGGTTGGCCCAGTGTGTTGCCAGTGACGATCACGGGCCCATAGTCAGCAAGCCAAAACCACCCCAACGCGCACACCAGACCGGCGAAGAAAAAGACGTAGACGCTGAATGGTTTTATCCCTCCCGTCTTAGGTGTGCTGCTGCGACACATTAAAAAGAACGAGACGACAGCAATCACACCTCCTCCGATTCCCATCACGGCGATAATGATGATGCCAGGATCAGACCACTGCCATTCGGAATCATCAATGCGCTTGCTACCTGATATTATTCATTAGCGAATGAACCATCAAAAGGGCAACAAGGAAAGGGAAGCCCACCCGTCATATGAGCAAGCATTTGACTCGACAACAAACCAGCAACGCACAGAACGCAAACCCAGCCAGCCAATTGAACCATCAGACCCCTCCTTTCTCTATTAAAATATCGCTGAATTATAACTGCGTCCATGACCAAGCCAAATATTATGTGCATGGCTAACAGCATCACCAACGCACGCGATTCTCGAACTTCGGACGCGTTGAGAGCGGCGAGAGTGACTGTCACGATTGCCATGCAGCTGGTGATAATGACATCGATGAGGTGTTGACTGAGGTACTTCCACGGCATCAAGGGTATGCGGCCAAAAAGGTGACAGACTAGAGTGTACACCATAATGATGTGGGAAATGGCACCGAGAACGCCATACGGGACGTTGTACTGGTCAAAGAGCTGCTCAATTTGGGGATCAAAGTCTCCCCGAGGTCCATCGTTTCGAATGTCGAGAGGGAATGCCGAGGCGATTGAAAGAAACGATCCAAACACCAGAATCTTTGCGAGGATAGCCTTCCAAGTAAACAAAAACATGATGACGGGTCGCTGATATTCGGGGTGGCACCAGGAGGCGGACTGGAACTGTCTGTCCTCACATACCTTTCGTATCTGAATTCGTTGACAATCAGACATTTATTGAACATTTGTCTCCCCTGAAGCTTCATTGGAAAGTGCCATTCCAAATTTAAAGTTCGGTTTCACTTGAGCTCATCGCGCTTATTTTTCCCTTTTCCATTTGTGCGTTGAGTTGTGGCTTGCATTTATTGAGCTTGGCATCCTATGCGCTACCTGAGCCAACCACAATTTGACCACACTATTGTTAGAGTTACGTTTACATTGATTCAAAGCTGGTATTCTGGCTTCTTTGTGCATTATGTGGTGGCAGACATTGAGTGATGAAGCCCAATGCCACAATTGTCCAGATGTATCCCCTATCGGTGATGTATTTCCAGTACGTAGAAGGATGTGAGCGTTCTTCTTGTTTGGCCATTTTATATATCATTTGAGGTATTGAAATATCTCCAAATGCATCATGTCTTGTTTTTATGATAGGCACGCTGAATTGTCAGAGAATCAGGTACTTGCCATCCTAGTTCCAGAGCCTTGCTGGATAACCAGATCTTAACCAGCATTCTCTTTGCCAATGGACCACAAAAGCATGCCGAAGTTGCGATGAATCCCATCTTTAAAACTTCAGCTATCGAGGACGTTGGTGGAATCAAGTATGCCCCCTTGTCATCAAGTGATTTCTCGTGTACGGAAATGTGCAACGACTGCAACTCCAAAAGTAGCTTAACAATAAAACTGAGACTTGGCTTGCTATTTGCTACCTCCAAAAACGATGGATGACGTGATGACATATGTGCGTGCACAAGCACGTGCCGTGCCTCTCGACATTGGGATGACGCATTGCGTGCAACCCAAGATCGCAGCGGGGTAAGAATGCTACGTCCATTGTTTATCAACCAGCGACCACAGAAGCTGTTGGTTGGACTGTTCTCCTCTACTTCCCCTCTGATCCGGTTGGCTGGAACGCCGCAATAGGAAGGTCCAAGGAATAGTTCATCTTGATCATGGCAGCCCACGCCATGGCATCATTCGTCATCTTGCCCCAGACTGGAAGCTGGCTTGTAGCTGCGTCTTGCAGCATCACAAGAGTCCGGTCCGTCCACTCAGATTAACTCACCAACGGTGACAAGGACCAAGTCTGGGATAGTTGATTTCGACAACATGCAATACATCACGTCTCGCGGTAACTGGCATGCAATGCTGCAGCTCTGTTGGGAGGCATCCGGCGATATATCATGACTGGCTTCTCCCACCGCCCTGGACTTGGGTCTTGTTCCGCAGTCGCTCTGTCATGATGCTGGTCAAATATCACTTCACGGTCGGGTTCGCTCTCTCGTTCTCGTCGTTGGCATCCGCCTGCCTTCGCGAGTTCAACTCGGAGCATGTCCACACCCATCGCAAACCCATACTGCGAAGACAAGCGGTGTGGCCACCTGTCTTGACTGAGCAAGAGACGATCTTGTCCAACTCTTTTGATGCCAACAGCATCGATGACTGGGCGAAATATTACGGCAATCAAGTCAAGTTGGCTGGTTTGGGGCGTGAGGCCGCCGAGTGGACCAGAGACCGTTGGGCAGAGAACAACTTCACGTCTGCGTTGAAAGAGTATCATGTGTATCTCAGCTACCCAGTACGCCAGTCTCTGGCCATCGCTTACAGCAACGGGACAAGAGCGGAAGTCCACGTCCAAGAGCCCGCCCTGGCAGAGGACCCAGTGACGGGACGGGAGGATGCAATCTCGAACTTCCATGGATACTCAGCCTCCGGTAACGCCACTGCCGAATATGTTTATGTTGGGTAAGTCTGACATCTCCACTTCTGCTTGCTCAGGTGTGCTAAAAGCTGTGGCAGACGGGGAACGCACGCCGACTTTACTCGCCTCGTGGAACTGGGGGTTGAGCTGGAGGGCAAGATCGCATTAATCAGATACGGCTCCATCTTTCGGGGTTTGAAGGTCAAGAATGCGCAGGACCACGGCATGATCGGTGCCATCATTTTCACCGATCCTGGTGATGACGGAAACGTCACCGTTGCCAACGGCTATGAAGCGTACCCCCATGGACCCGCCAGACACCCTGACGCTGTGCAGAAAGGGTCAGTTCTCTTTCTCTCCACCTATCCTGGCGACCCAACCACTCCGGGCTATCCCTCTGTTGAGGGAGCACCACGTGCAGACACATCCTCCGTCACTCCCCAGATTCCCTCTCTGCCCATATCCTATGCTGCTGTCCTCCCACTGCTGCAAGCTCTCGACGGCCATGGTTTGGAGGCAAGCCAAGTCAACCGCACCGCTTGGATGGGTGCACTGGACGCCGAATACCGCACTGGACCTGCACCTGGTGTGACGCTGTCCCTTGAGAATCTCATGGAGGGCAAAATCACGCCAATCTGGAATGTGATTGGCTACATCAATGGGACGAATCCAGATGAGACTCTGGTAATTGGCAACCACCGGGATACCTGGATGATTGGTGGTACGGGAGACCCTAACTCGGGTTCCGCCATACTCGCAGAGTTGGCCAGAGCATTTGCCAAGCTTACTGCCACGGGGTGGAAGCCGCGCCGAAATATTGTTCTGGCGTCGTGGGACGCGGAAGAGTACGGTCTTGTTGGGTCGACAGAATGGGTGGAGGAGCACGTCAACTGGCTCACGGAAACTGCGGTGGCATACCTCAACATCGATGTTGCCGTGAGCGGGCCGAGGCCCAGTCTGGATGCGACGCCAGAACTTCACACCATTGGAACAGAAATCATGAAGAAGGTCGTTCACCCCAATGCGGGTGGCTTCAACATTTCCCTCTATGACGCCTGGCAGAGAGAGTCGAGCACGGGATCCGGCCGTCACGTTGGCGTCCTGGGAAGCGGCAGCGACTACACTACCTTTCTGCATAGAGGTGTAAGCGCATTGGATGTTGGCTCAAGCGGCGGTGCTGGAGATCCCATCTGGCATTACCACAGCAACTACGACTCTTACAACTGGATGTCCAAATTTGGAGACCCGGGATTCAAGGTGCATGCTGCCATGGGTCAGTATCTGAGCTTGCTCGCGCGTGCACATTGCGGATGATGAAATCTTGCCCTTCGATCTCCCCAACTATACCGAAGAGCTAAGAGGGTATTATGAGGATTTGAGAGACTTGATCGGGGATGAGACCCTCGACACTTCCGAACTGGCCGCCGCGATTGACGTTTTTGAGAAGAGTGCCAAGCAGGTTAAGGAGCTGGAGACTTTGGCCAAGACATGGAAGGATGAAAACTTGATCAAGGTGGTCAATAAGAAGTATCGAGACTTCCAGCGCGGATTTGTATCGCAGGGAGGATTGCCCAATCGCGAGTTTTAACCGTCATGTGGTGACAGCCCCTGGGCTAGAACACAGGGTAACGCCGCCATTACCTTCCCTGGGCGTGTCCGAGGGAAGTGCAGTACGGGAACTCTAACCGTCGCACGCTGAGTGGGTGTCCAAAACTGCCACAAGGCATTCTGCGGGCTGCCGCCATTACTCCAAGACTTGAACACCATACATGTAGCTGTACCATAATATGTAGGGTGTGAATAAATCTGACACTGTTTGGCTTGTGCTCTCTGCCCGTCCAATGAGACACTGGCGTTGGTTGCTTGGTGATTCCAAGACTTCCTTGGCAGTCTTGAGAAAACAACCCCTCCAGGCAACCAACACCATCTCACGTTCAGTTTTTTCTGACACGTCCAGAACACCAAACTCTGGTTTCTGACTCTTGACAGTCTTGCACATCCATCATGGCAAATTCAGCTCCCAAAGTGGCCGAAGCCGAACGATTCGAAACGGACCGGGCGATTTCGCTCAAGGCCAAAGACATTGCCAACCTGATCAAGCACAGCAAGCATTTTATTGTCTTCACCGGTGCGGGCGTCTCGACTTCTGCAGGTAATTGCCGCCCCGTTTACTTCGTGTTTCGAGACACATTCTGACATGATCAAATCCCAGGGATTCCCGACTTTCGTGGTCCAGATGGCGTGTGGACTTTGCGAAAGCAGAAACGCGACGCGCCGTCCAAGGCCACTAGCACGCTGCAAGCCATCCCCACTCCGACACACATGGCACTTGTCAAGCTTCAAAACAGGGGACTTCTCAAGTACCTTGTGAGCCAGAACTGTGATGGGCTGCATCGTAAAAGTGGTATCGCGCCTGAGATGATCTCGGAGCTGCATGGGAACAGTAATAGGGAGTACTGTCGTGACTGTGGAAAGGAATACATTCGAGACTTTCGGGCTGTTGCACCTTACACCAAGACAGTCACAGACCACCGCACTGGCCGCAAGTGCAGCATGCCGGGCTGCAATGGTGTTCTTCTTGACACCATCATCAACTTTGGCGAGTGTTTATTTGAGCAACCTTTGAAGCTGGCGAGAGAACATGGCAAGAAGGCCGATTTCTGTCTAGTCCTCGGATCAAGCTTGACGGTGCCTCCCGCTTGTACCATCCCTGAGATCGCAGGCAAGAGCAAAAGGGGGAAGCTGGGAATCTGCAACCTGCAAAGCACACCGCTGGATCATCTTGTGGACGGGGAAAGCATGAGGGTTTTTGCGAGGACCGATGATCTCATGATTGCTGTAATGGGTCATCTATGTCTAGAAATCCCCCAGTTCGTGCTAAGGAGGCAACTGACAGTGAAGGTGGTAATGGGGGAGAGGGATAGAAACCAAGTCATCCTGCAAGGAGTTGACGTGGACGGAACCCCAAGCACTTTTCTCAAAAGCGTCAGGTTGGAGGGCAGCAGACGACCCGCAGTGACAGAGCCCTTTACGCTGAGTTTCCGCATGGATGGACAGGAAGAGCTTCGATTGAAACTCGAGCTGGAATTCATGGGAAATTACCTGGAGCCTAACGTTGAGATTGTGCACTCAACCCAATGCTCTGAGCGTCTTTACTTGCTAGAGTACAGTCCGTATACAAGGGAGTGGCAGGTTGTGGCAAAAGATTACTGTGAGTTGTCTGAAGTCCCTACCTTCCTTGACTTCACGGAGATTGGTGCTAACGGGCCTTGATTCTCACGACAGAATACAAACATCTGAATCTGAGTTCCATGGCTGACGTTTTATCTACGAAATCAAGACCTTTGCCATGTTCACAACATCAGGAGTTGGCATTGTACATCTCATCGGGCTAGCAGCCCGACCGTCCGATCAGTGATACTTGGCTTTACCACATTCAGGAAAGCACTCGGTTTGTTAGTTTCTCGGCAGTTGACTGGGATACTCAGTTGGGTTTTTAATTGGGGCGCTTCCGGATCGGTCTCTTGGGAGCTATGGCTGCTATCCTGTCAAGCAACCCGGAACAGGCGTCAGCTGCTCACCCCAGGCGGGGCTCTCTCCGATGCCGGCCTCAGTCACGGAGAGAATATCGATGACTAGGGGCTTTGGATGCAACAAGAGACCACTAAAAGTATCATTTGACATGGCTGTGACGACAAACCGCAGGTGTTGATATTGGAATTCCTCGGTCCCTTAGCTGCCCGGTCATCGCATCGCCTTCACCTCTCAACACATCAACACCTGCCCGTGCAGACAAGCCCAACCATGTACGACCATCACAAAGCATCCATCGCCAAGATAACCGCCTACTTCGAGGCGGACCCTACAGTGATGGGGTTGATCCTCACGGGTTCAATAGCCCACGGTTTCGACCGTGCTGACTCTGACGTCGACGTCTTAATTGTCGTTTCAGATGATGATTTTGCCCGGCGTCTGGAGACAGGGAACCTCACCATGGTCAGTCCCGATTTGTGTACATACGAGGGCGGCTTCGTGGACGCCAAATACACATGCTTGTCCCTGATCAACCAAACCGCCGAAAAGGGAAGCGAGCCTGCGCGATGGGCATATGACGGCGCCCAGGTCCTCTTCAGTCGCTTCGATCCTCCCAATATTCTACGGAACGCTATCAAGAACATTGCATCGTACCAGACAGAGGGGAAAGAGAATCGCATAATGAGATTCAGGGTCCAGCTGCAGATTTGGAGATGGTACTGTTCGGAAGGCAGGAAGAAGAACAACCCGTACTTGTTGAACCTAGCCGCCTCGAAGCTAGTGTTGTTTGGTGGTCGGCTCATCTTAGCACACAATGAGATGCTTTACCCGTTTCACAAGTGGTTTCTCAGGTTGTTGGGAGATGCGCCAGAGAAACCCGAGGGCTTTATGGATCTGGTGGATAGGGTGATCAGGGACCCGACAGAAGCAAACACTGAGCATTTCTTTGAGGTGGTTGCGAACTGGAAAGAATGGGCTACTGGTCCTAACAGGCCAGGAGCACTTTACATGGTTGACAGTGAGCTGAATTGGCTATATCTGCAGACGCCTGTGGATGACCTTTAGTGGTGCTAGATGTTATGTCATTGTCGCTTTTCTTTTGGGTTAAAGAGTGTATCACAATGCTCAAGTGCAACGGGAAATATCAACAAAAGAATAGTGGCTGTTGCAGCTCGGAAAAACTTGCAAACATCAGGTTGGCGGGCTTAAGGGGCTTAGGTTACAAGTACTTACTAGTCGGGAATATAGTAAGATGCCTAGATACCGGGTAGCACTTGATTTGGTAAAGAGAATATGAAATGAGCTACTATAACGTTGCATTGTGCTCCATACTTTTAGCACATATTGAGAATATTAGTACAGGTATCACTATACTACAGTACCTTCTTATACCTCACCGAGGTACTTTGCAGTGAGAGCATAGTGATGCCACCACAAAAGAGAGTTCATGATCGTTCTCAGCTGTGCATAAAGAGCTATAGTCTTCTTTTAGCCGCAAAGCGCTGTTGCTGTCTCGTTCTTATTGTCCAGTCTGAACAAGGCCTTGTTTTTCCTGTAGTTGTGCCTTCTGATGCTGTCAATCCCATTTTTATGGCTTGCCAAAGGATACCTACCAATCTCGAATGCCTATATAAGTAGATAAATAGAGCTTCTCAATATCTCAACACTGCACATCTTCCACAATTACCTCTGCCCACTTTTCACAGACAGTTTCTACCAGATTACGCATTTATTCTCCAAACACAATTTTGAGAATGGCTTCTACTTTCTTCCCTGAGAGGCTTCAGGGTAGCCAACCGCCTAATCCGGAGGAGCTAATAGTTCATCAGAACTAACACGCTTTGTGGATCATCCGGCGTGAAGGGAAGGCTCCTACAGCCCAACCAACTAGGAAGACGGCAGTCAGCGCGCAGCAAATCGACACACTGCTCGAGCGCTACCGCACTGACAATCTTATTGATCTTCGCGAGGATTTCAGAGTGACACTGATTCTAAGAGGTCAGTTTTCCTTCATCTGCAAAATTCGCACTGGCAAATTTTGGACAGACAGTCACTTGCCTGGTGTTACCATTCCCGCCACTGTTATTATGCGTGCAAGTCTGCCATGGGCTTCCGTACTATGGCACTGAAATTGAAGTAGCAGCCATGCTCTTTGCAAGCCGCCAAGACATTCCAGTACCACAGGTTTACTTCTTTGACTCGTCTGCGAAGAACGGTTATGGCATTGAATTCACGATTCAGGAGTTTGTCCAGGGTGAGAGGCTTGACACTAACCAAGCCCTTATCTCAGAAGCCGTAGAGTGCTGGCATCGACTGTGGAACAGTAGTAACTTCACTCAATCCGGAAGTCTTTACTGGCATTGGAATAGCCAGCCTTTCTTCGTTGGCCCTATGGTAGACCAAGAGTTCTTTGCTCCCCGTGTGGAGAAGGTGAGTCACGAACTTCCACAGTTCAGCCCTTCCTCGGACTGGCCAAGCTACGTTGAGGTTCTCTTCAATACTAGAAGGCAGAGGGATTGGACTAAATGTCACCAAGGCTCTCAGATCATGTCTTCACTTCCAGGTTGCCCAGTTGATGCCAACAGATTTCTAGTGAGGTTTGCTGAGATCGAGGCCATGGCTGGTTCTGTATCTGCTCTGATCTTCAAGTCAAGAATGATTCATTGGGATATGCATGAGCGTAATGTCCTGGATAAATCTGACGGTGAAAAGCTTGCTGCGGTAATCAACTGGGATGCCGTGGTCATAGAGCCTGCCGGTTTATGCCGCTCTATTGGTCCCGCCTGTGTCCTTGACCACATGTCGTCTTGGGAGTAGGCCAGGTGTCAATGGAATCTCCCAGCTGAATGGTGGGACGAAACGGCCAAGATTGTGCGAGCAGATCTTCTCTATGACATTCGTCGATTTTATGCAAAGACGGACTAACCTCGTGGGATGCCATGACCATTGCCAGTAATAAGAAAGTTGTAGCAATTTTGAATAAACTAACAGACTAGAAACCATATTTATGCACATCTTATTTTACTCAGACTGATGCCTCTCCCTCTATTGATGAAATGTGTCCCCGATCAGGTACGTAGCTTTCGTAAACCTACCTAGGTAGCTTGTTTGAACATTTTATCTTCTGGCCGTCTTTATCAAACTACCTAAGTAAACTCAAAAAATACCTGTAAGACCCAGCGCCACCGTTCCTGAGCGTAATATCTGCAATAAGGTGCGGTAATTTTTCACGGCTAAGGCACAAGGCATCCGCTCCCGTTTCGAAAAATAAAGGTAAGTGCTAGTAGAAGCTACCATTCGTTGTTCTCGGCAACATCTGAAGACAACTTTCGCCCCGTTGTGTCGTTTCTTTCCCTTTGGGCAGAGACATGCCTTGTTTTAAATATCAGATCCGTTTCCACGCTTGTTACCTTACCGTCTCCCCTCAGCAGTGGGAATATTCACTTTGGCCTCCATGTCCCGATGATGTCTTGCAACATGTCCTTCAAACATACCACCATCCGTGACAACAAAATTCCAGAAATAGATAGACGTTCTGTTATGTGAGATTACCAACTTGTTGATACGAAGGATATCTATCTACGTGTTAATTTGGGATCGGAGAAATTTACTTCAAGTACGCGTGAGCCTGGGCACAGGTGGGCCCAGTATCCTCGCACCTTGATGGCCAGGAAGGCAAACGGTGCTCATGACTTACAGTTTTAACCCGAAAATTAGGCCAAGACCGGTATGTTGAACATCGGATATCCTCAGTTCACCTAGCAAACGCCAAATGCGATGCCCCCGTGACAGCTACTGAAAAGTCGCCTTCCTGCCACCCACCGACGAACACTCGAAGCCACCTACACACGAAGAGTTGACGCCAAGATAACCCATCCGCCTCGGCACACATGCCACATGGCCTCAATGCCATTCCCACGTTGTCCCCCGGGTAAAATGCTACCGTTACAAGCCGACATTTAGGCAGTTGCCGGTAATGTCAGTCTACCATGTCATGGCAGCAATTGTTGGCCTTTATTGCCTGTCTTGTTGCCAACCTCCTCTACTTGATTATAGGCGGTTAATTGTCCATCCAGCTTATCGTCTTCTAGGCCACGTTGCCAGAATCAATACCAAGTCGAACATAATGCGTCGATAGACCTTTCCATATTCTGACAAGTACCTCCAGTGGCGAGATTCTCATCGTCTCGGTCACGTCGCGCCTCTTTGTAGCAGAAAACAATCCTTGACGACAACCAGTTTGCTACGTTTCTAGAACCTCACTCTGAGCTCGCCTGCGTCTTCCTCAACACGCTGTTCTGTTGTCTTTCACAACATGGCGTGGCGTCATGTCACTCTCGCGAGGGTGTTGCTCCTCGGCCTAGCAACCCCCTTTGCCAGCGCGGCAGACTCCAAGAAAGACGGCCTTGCATCTGAAGAGATTCAGCACAGGACTGTGTACACCGGCAACGCAACCGAACCGGTTCTGTCTTCGCCACCAACTGACAAGTGGTGGAAGTCCAACATCTGTCAAGGGTCTTACTGCGTCTACACGAACCTGCGAATTGCGAACCGGCGCGGACTTGTCCTAGTAACAAAGCCAGATGAATACAACAAGGTCGAACGAATCGAAGCGTATCTCGAAAGGGCGGACAACAAGTGGGAAGACGGCTCTCTTCTTGCCGAGACAGAGATTCTGGAAAAAGGCCTGGGCTTGACGGCAAAGCAGTCCATCAGGCGTGGAAAGCCACTCAGCTCCTGGTCTCCCGTGCTCCTTGTGCACAAAGATCTTTTTGAAGATGTTGTCAAGAAAAAGGAACGAACGCGCTTGCTGGAAGCAGCGATCAACTACCTGCCCGATGACACCCGAGCCGCCTTCAACAGGCAACGCAACCGCCCTGGGCACAACTCCGGCGAGAGTCCTCGTTCGATCGAGGAGATCTTGTACGCTCACCCCTTCGAAGTGGACCTCGGAGCTGGCTACCGTCAAGAGCATAGCTCCAAGCACTACATCAATTATCCTGAGGTCGCCCTTTTCCAACACGATTGCCGACCAAATGTCGCCTTCTACATTGATCAGCACCTGCAACACCGCACGACTGTGGCTCGCAAGGTGGCGGAGGGGGAGGAGCTCTCGATTTCTTACATTGACCCCTTCTTGCCTCGCAAGGAGAGATCAGACTGGGTCAAGCGATTTCGGGGCAGCAGCAAGCCGTGCCCTTGCGCCGCCTGCACCGGCAACAACAAGCCGTCGCAGCTCAAAAAGTCGGATAAGAACCTTGCCGAGATCAACTCGATAAAGGCAGAACTCAAGAACCACGACAGCAAAAAGGTGACGGTTTCTCTGATTGATCGCTACGTGAAGCTGATGCAGGAGGAGAAGCTGCAGGCCAAGTACGCCGAGGCCTGGGAACTGGCGGCTTTGAATTACAATTATTTGGGGGAAGACAAGAAGGCAAAGAAGTACGCCGACCTGGCAGTGCAGGCCGGGATTGTCGAAGGAGGAAAAGATAGCAATGATGTGGTGGCCATGAGGGTGTTTGCAAGCGACGTGAAGGGCCATTACAGTTACCGATACACACTGAAGAGGAGAGGGATCAAGGAGCCTGGGAATTAATGTTGGAGATCTGATATTATTTCTTCATCAATGTGGAAAGTGAGTTTGATTTGGAAATACATGGTAAAATGTTGTTTATCCTTACAAGACATTTGAACCGTTCATATCTGCACACCTCTTCCGAAGCTGAAGGTCGACTGTAGTAATGAAGGCAATACTGTAGTAAGATGACCAAGTTTGTGAGACAAGGCTGGACCTTGTGATCTTCTAGCTGCCACAAAGGGGTGTCTACCTGTTCTCATGACACATTCAAGCACACCACTCTCGTAGGGACGTCTTCCTGGAAGGCAGGGTCGAGACCGTCATACGCAGCGAGTTTACCCTGTGGTCTGTGACAAACAATTCGTTTGCTATGTTCGACATGGATATGTCTAGGGGGAATAGAAAGTGCCACAGCCTGAGGCAGTTTCTGCTGCGCCAGTCAATGATGACATACACAGGAGTCCTCCTGGTGAGAGGCTTGGCAAGATAGCATTTGCGATTGCCCTTGCTCTTTTCACTAACAGTGGGCCTTGCCGTTACATCGTAAAGGAGGACGGAATTAGTGATGACTGTTGGGTTGCTGTGCCGCTTGGTCGCGTCGACTGTGCGAGGCAACCCAAAGCTGGCCACCTCTTGCGGCCGATGAGGAGTCTTGCCCTATCAAGTTGAGAATGCTGAAGCTCAGAGACCTCCTCTGGAAGCCCGCACCGCCTTCGCCCTCCTCAAAGTCGAGACGCCGCGTCATGCTGGATGCACATAGGACACCGGATGGTCGTGTATGGCGTGTAAGGGACAGCCAACTGTTCAGTGCTCATTCTCCAGGCCAGGTTCTCGATTGAGCCTGGGACAGGCACTTTGGCACCCGACTCTACGGAGACGAGCATAGTTTTCGTTCAGCTGCCCGTTGTCTTTACATCCCGGTTCCCGAACAATGACCCGAGAGCTTGCCGCAGCAGCTCGCAGACCAGAGTTGTGGGGTTTGGTGTCTGAATGGGCGTCTCTCGCGTCTCAAGAGAGAGTGCTTCGCCTCGCACCCACCATAAGCGCTACGACACACCAAGCACCCGCCGAGCCTTATAGAGGAAATGCTACTGCATTTGTGGCTGTCCGCAGCAGCAACCCCCTGCAAGGCACCCGTCAAATGCACAACACTCAACCGCCATCGTGCATGTCCACCCCTGGGACACACGCAGGGCTGCCTCAGTGCCGCCGCTGGTTATAAGATGCGGCTACAAGCCAAACTTAAACAGGCTCTCACAAGACATCACAACATCTAACACGCCTAAGGACCAATCTAGTTTAACATTTGCGTTTCGACCAGGTTTTCGCAACTCAGACGGTTTGTCAACAGTCACT